AACAAACACATCCACGTCCACATTCACAACCGACAGCCCAAAACAATAACAAGAACAACAACAAGAACAGCAGCAGGAAGAATAACAGGAAGAAGCAACAGCAACAGCAACAGCACCCTCGATGCTTCGTTGGAGGGATGACTTAGCAATGCCAAACCTTGCCGAGATCCAGCAACAGCAACAGCATCAGCACCAGGCACCGGGCACCCGCACATACCCGCACCAGCAGCAGCAACGGAAACAGAAACGGAAACAGCACCAGCGACAGCAACGACATTAACGTTGCCATTCCCTAACCCTAACAGTCATGATGGCCAAACGTTGCCATTCCCTCACCCTAACCGTCATGATGGCCAAATTATCATCACCATCGTCATCATCCTCCTCATCATCATCGCTATGGTCGTCATCATCACCAACGTCATCAGTAACAACAGCAACGACGACCACCACCACTACCACCACAACGACGACGACCACCACCATCACAACAACAACCACAACCGCAACCTGATCATAATGCCGTCGTCATCACTACTACTAATGTTACAATCTTCCTTGCTGTCGGCAGCAGTGGCATCATCACCTGCCCGCTGTTTCACTTCAGCTTGTCTTGTCTTGCACCGCATCACGGACGCGGACTCATCAAAGCACAAAGCCGGATAAGAATCAGAGTCAGAGGCTCAAGGACGTGCTAAAACCCTACCACCCAAAGCTCAAATCCTCAATTCCCGAACCACTGAAGCCAAGCTATAGCAGCTATATTTGCTGTAAATGACAAAAAAATGGTCATTGGGACCTCGCAGGAGAAGAATGCCAGGAGCATGCCGCCCCACCTGCAGATTGGGCTCAACCCAACCCCTAAACCCACAGGCTCTTGTAGCTTTGGAGCAGAACTTCTGGGGCCCCGTCGTGTTCCGTTCGAGGGTGGGAATGGGGTTTTAGACCTGAGGGTTTAAGGCTTAAGGTGCTGGGCTTTTAAGCAACAGTCAAAGCGTATACCGTGACCCATCCAAACCCGGAGATCTCTGGAATCAGTATGCCGGACATCATCTTCGACAATCGACAGTGGGAGCTTTTGACCCACGCGGTAACACCCATATGCTCCCCCTTCCCTTGGTCGTGCAGGAATTCCTGCCAGCCTGCTTCAAGACTAGGACTTCCAGAGAAACTTAGGAACATTCAGATTTATGTGGAACGAGGCTGCAGATGGAAACTGTGAGCAACATGGAGGTCGTAGCCGAAAGATTCAGACCTTGACGGCTTCTGCCTGTCTTCCCTAAACGCCTACCTTGAAACCTTGAAGCCAAGCCCGCCAACCTCAATATCTGAGTTGACGGAACCGTGCTTGCCTCGCGCATCAGCTCAGCCAGCGCCTGGCATCGAACACCAGCACAACCCACCCGAAGCCTAATCATGAATTCTACAACCCTAGGCCCTAAAAACGGTGCGCCAAAGTCCTAAGTGGCAGTACAGGGGCCTTAATAACTAGAAGAGGGTTTTGCGGACCATTATACTATTATCACAATAAGGAACCCCCACAATAGTATTGGCGATTATTTAGGCCCTTCTTATATCAATACTGCGTGCGACCTTTCCCGGGGTTGACAAGCTTTCGTGCGATGAGGCGCTGGAAGCTACATTGCACCAGTCGCCTCGATGTGTGTGCGCTCCGGATCTGTCACGGGCGCCGGAAAACTGCCACCTCCCATCCAGGGGTTTAATGCGATTTTGTGAGCTTTCGGATGGTCAGGACCTGCTTTGCATTTCGGCGAGCAGAGTGACCATCCTTCACCTCAAGAACTGCCAGAAATAGTCCACGAGTGGAGCCTTTTGCTGCAAGACTCTCAGAGTCTAAACTCCGTAAAACCAAAGGCTTCCCCCAAACTCCGGACCCTTCGCGACAGAAACATTTTTAGGCAACTACTACATGGACAGTCGAGTGAGTAGGTAGAGGAGCGAGTCGCTTGGGTGGTCCTTACACGGTTGAGAGTGTAGAGGCGCGGTTATTCTCAGGACCTTGGCTTTGATCCTCGGAGACCACTTCAGGATTCCTGACTCCGATATCTTGGCATAAGATTTCTCGCCGAGCCCTCCGGCTGATTTCAAGTAAGCCCCTCTGGCAAAACGGAGATGGTGCGCCTTCACCAGGTGGTTGCCAGACTTGTGCCTGCCGTGGCATGAAGATAGAACTGCGCTAGACTTGTGGAAAGACTCTGGAGCCTTTCGAAGACTGGTGCTTCCCTTGCGGATGCTTGAAGCAAAGGCAAAGGTCGAGTAACAGTACTAGAGACTTCGGCGCGAGCCCGCCAGTGCAAGGGTGGAAGCGAAAACACCATGATCAGACCGAAATACGGGGTGATGGTGCGACACAGTCTTGCACTAAGTGCAAAAGCCTTGCGGCCCGTAAGCAATGGCTTGAACGTTGACGCATCCCTGGCTCCCAGATCCAAGGCCTGTGTCGCCAGCTGAAGTGCTGCATCGAGTCGACCCTGCTTTATGGGCAAAAGGATGCGGCTGACTTGCATTTTCGAATCTTGGGGCTTTTCAGAGTTGACACATAAAATGCGGAAGTTGCTCCCACAAGATTCACCATGCCGCATCAACGGCAAGGCTCAGACGCTGCATTGAAGTGGAGCTTCGGTGTCGACTAGCTCAAGTACATTTAAGCGTCCGACCCCTGTCGCCCCCAACCCTCAGGTGAACCTGGGCTTGGGGCAAAACCACAGGCGACTAAACCTCCTAAATTGCAATCTCACAGACCCCGGTCCCCATAAACGCAAAAAAAGTGCAAAGCCGCTGCACCCAAACCCCGAACCCCTCCCCTCCCACAAGGCCTCGGAGTTCAGTTGTAGCGAGATCAACTGGACCAAGCCTGGCGGCTCTGAGGGGCACAGATCCCCTTTTGAAGGCTTCATGGTTTAGGGAATCAGATCTTGTAGGGTTTAGTCGCTCGCGCTAATAACATGACAGGGGCGGGTAGGTTAATTGTAGGCTTGGGACGTTTTGGGGGTCAGGAGTTTTGACCAGAACAAGGCCACAGCCCCACAAATTCTGCCAGAAGCCTTGATGAATCCCGCCTGGGCATGGGATACTTTCTGGCTTGGGTTTCGGATAGTTGTGGCGAATGTGCCTGGCCTGCAACAGGCTTAAAGCTCTGCAACCTGTTAGTCACTATTACTACGCTTAAGGATCTGGTGCTCAGCGACAAGTTGTCTTTCTTTGGTCCGTGCTTATTTCAGCAATCCGGCCTGGAACGACCGTATAAGTCCTACTCAGCCCATTACGGACTTCCTTGGCCCGTGAACCCTTGAGCCTTACGGCAAAGCCTAAGACCTGCAGCACCAGGAAGACTTTCATGTGCACCGAGCATCGGAAAGATAAGCACCGATTCTCGGTGTGATTGTGAAGCACATGAAAGGAGACAAACCAGGGACGTCAGCGAGGAACTGCGGAATAGTCATGATCACCACCATCATGTCGCCCGATCTGCAAGCGTGATCGCAGCGGGCCTTCTAGAAGCTCTGCGGCTGTCTGCTGCACCTCTAGCATGCCAAGGCGTTTTGGCTCGCAGGACCCCGACTCCAGAACCCTCGAACCCTCCAGCCTTCACCAAAGCTGGAAACCCAAACTCCGAAGACAAGACTCTCCATTGGGCCGAGATGCCTCAAGGGAACCAGGACCAGCTACCTGCAAATAGAGCCGCTTTGAGGACTCTTGGAATCCCGGATTCGTAGACACGGTGGGAAGAAGCTCCCGGAACGCAAGCAGTTGCGTCTAAAAATTCGGAGTTGAGTCCAGGGTTTATGGACTAGTGGAGAAGGGTTTAGGATTCAGGCGTTGGTGCTCAGGTCTTCCGGGTACCAGTGGCGGATGAAAGGGCGGATTCAGCAAGACCCTTCGGATGGCTGTGGCCCTGCAAGACAGGAAACCCGTGAGGGTAATGCCTCTGAACAGTTTTACGAGGTTTCCGCAACTTCCCGAACCTCAACGGCCATTGGATTCCACGCAAGATTGACACAAACTGCCGCCCACAGGATGGTCCTTGTCCAACATCAAACCTTTCGACTCTCTTCATAAAATCAGGTCTTTGTGGCTTGATAAAGGCTGAAGCTCTACGGACCTTACGGTTCCGTCAAGCTACATGCCCACGAGAATAGCAAACACACCATGCTCCCACCACCTCGTTCGCAGCACGGCGCGCCAACCTTGTCAAGTCACTGCGGTACACTATTGTCCTGGATAACCATCCGACCATCCGTGCTGTTGAATTCATTTGGGGCTTGCAACTTGCTTCCGGTTACTGATTTGTTCCTCCAGAGAGCCGGTTCCATGCACTGAACAGCTGAAGCGTTCGGAGCAGCCGCGAGCCTGCATTGTCCTACCTGTGAATCCAAAAACAGTTTCACGTCGTTGACCAGAACTTTTAAGCTTTGGGTCGTGGTGATCTAGTAGGCTGCCACCTTGCTGCCAAAACGGCCAAAAAAAGAAGACATCAAAAGGACAACAGCAGCGACAAACGACGCAAAACCTCAATAGGCCGCCTGGGATGTTCAGATTTGGACAGTTGAGAACCCAAGCAGGACACGCAATCTTCTGAGGGGTCTTGGCTACGGCTTGGGACAACAAGTGCTAGCAGTCACTCTGTGAAGCTTTGACGACGACAGACTGCCTTTTGCGCGGGCGGGATGCACGGTAAGCACAGGTCTGGGGCAATGCTCGTGCTTCCACGCACTTAACTGCTTCTCCTTGCTGCCACAGCTACTATAGCGGCAGCTTTCTCAGGGACTCCGGTCAAGCCGGAGCACACGGTACGGACGGATTTTTCTACATGAAGCCCTTAGAGGCCTCAAAGGGAGGCTTCGGTAGAATGTTTGCTTATCCACCGTGGTTAGGAGAGCAGGTGATGTTTGCTTTCAGTTGTGGGTGGGGCGAGGGGCCGACGGCCCTCCCTCTGAACAGCACGACGGTGCAAGCGGAAAGATCACACGCAGCCGGCTTCACCTATGCACTTCAAAGCCACAATGTCGCTTGCCAGGTCTGGTGCCCAACAAACAATGTTCGATCTCGTCATGGCCCCAAAGGGCCGCCGAAGTGAGAGCAGTCATCCCGGCTTTGTTTGCCAAGTCTATATTCGCACGAGCCTGCAGCAGCAGTCGCACGATCTTCAAGTGGCCCAGCATAGATGCCAAGATCAGAGAGCTGTTGCCGTCCGCATCAGTTTGGTCCACATCAGCCTCTGCTTCCAAAAGTAGCCGTGCGATCTGCATGTTCCGCTTCGCGGAACAAACAACAACGAGAGCTGTCATGCCAAATTTTGTCTTCAGGTCTGTTTGTGCCTTTGCATCTAACAGCACCTGCACAACTTTCACATAGCCTTTGTCGGCAGCACAAAACAGAGCAGTCGCCATCTCGTAGCGAATGCTTCCAAAATCCTTGTCTGCGCCGCTCTGCAAGAGACAGTGAACAGCATCTTCGTGCCCAGTACCAGCAGCCTCGAGTAATGCACAGCCAAGGCGATCACTGAGACGTTCGTCGTTCTTGCCATGCTGGAATTCAAGCAAGGTGCGCAGCACCTCGAGATTGCCAGTGGAAGCCGCGCATGAAATAGCCGTGCAGCCAGTTTCGAGCCTGAGTGGGTCTGCCCGTGCTCCCAGAAGAAGCCCCAAAATCTCAAGATTGCCCTTGCAAGAGGCATGTGAAAGCGAGGTGGTAAACAGCTTGGAAGGCAATGGTCGTGCAACCCAGCCCTCACCGGCATCTAGCAGCAGTCGCACCACTGCAACATGGCCCATATCAGATGCTTGGTTCAGAAACGCCCTGAAGCTGCAAGCGTCTGTCCAACCATGCTTTATCCCTGTCTCAAAGAACACACGGATGCCATCAGCAGAACCATCGGATGAAGCTCGAAGCAAAGATGACATGATGCCGGTGAACTTGTCCGACACTGTCTTGAAAGACCAGGCTTCCAACAACCGGCGGACTATGTCCAGCCTTCCTCGGCGAGCTGCGGTTGTCAGCGGCGTCTCGCAATATCTTGCATCAACCGTGTCAGGATCGGCTGGGCTCATCAAGACGAGCTGAACGTCCATCGGCGATTCCAGCTTCGCCGCATCTGCGAGCTCACGCCCGTCATGAAGGATCTTCTGCATTGTCCATGGCAACCCCTTCTGGTGCAAGACATGCTTCAGCGAGCTCACATCTGTCAGTTCCAGCGTGGGGAAAGCCGCCACTTCCTCTCCTGAAGCACTCCACACCCGCAGCATTTCGAAAGGTGCGGTCCACGTGCCCAGATGTAATGTACTTACGAAGCTGAATGTCATGGAGCACATGTATTGTATTTCGATATGATATTGTGGTATGCTATAGTATGTTGTGTAGCATTGTGCCGCGCCGTGCAGTGCTCTGTTGTGCTGTGTTGTTCTGCGACATGCGATTCTATACTCTGTGTTGCTACGTGTTGCTTTGTTGTATGTTTGAGTACTACTGCTTATTGTGTTGTGCAGTGCAAGGCAATGTCGCGGTCTCTTGTGCCGCTATGCTGTGCTATGCTAGTCTACACTGTGCTATGATGTGCTGAGCTAGGTCTATGCTGAGCGATGCACTGCAATGTTACATTAAGCTATGATACCACATGCTAATATATTGTCAGGTCAGCAAGCAAGTATGCAAGTATGCAAGCATGTAACTAAGTATGTGTGTGCACGTATGTATACCCGTATGACACATCACGCACGCAAGCATGGAAGTATGTATGCCTGAATGGATGGATGACCGTACGTGTGCTTGCATGCACGGATGCAGGTGTGTGTGGGTGTGCGTGTGTGTGTGTGTGTGTGTGTGTGTGTGTGTGCGAATGTATGTATGGGCACGTGGGCTGGTACATACATGCGTATAGAAATGCGGATTCTTGAGCCTTTGCTCTAGCCGATGACTCCACCGGTTCATATCAGCTTCATGTGTATATCCACACTAACATGCGAACATTCGTTGCTTGCTTTACATGCACACATGGATTTGCTCAGTGAGTTGCGCAAGTTGTCTTACTGGCTTGCACCCAGATCTAGAACGATTCCTGTTCATGCCTGCATCTAGCGTTCTGCATTCATCTTTATCAGTCTGTCAATTGTGCCACAAACCGTGATGCTCTGCCCTCTTGATGGCTGGACGGTGCGAACCACCAGAAGGTACACCGAATAGAAACTATCACACCCTGAGCAAGGATTCAAGAATCCCACACACAAAGAAACTAAACTCTTCAGTCTACCGTCCCAAACGCAGACCGTCCAAACTTCTTGGCGAGGTGGAAGGATTGGTGTAGGCACCCAGGGATGTAAACCAAAGCACGGTTAAGGCTCGGAACCGATCACCGGCATAAAAAGCAGTGGTGCAACGTTCTGACACCCTACCGGGAACCGCCGAGTCTCCCTGAAGCAGGAGTTGTGGGTTCGTGAACATACATGGCACTCCAGGTGTGTCCCTAATGACCTTAAGGGCAAAACGTGCATGAACTGGTCATATCTGGTCATGAGACTCTGATGCGAATAACACTCCTTAAGCCTATGAGTAGCAATGTTGGCATCGGATCCGCCACTGTACCCAGAGCGATGCGGTGAGGCGGGCATAGTATCGCACATCATGGGGTATTATAGTATAGCAGAGTAGAGTATACTAAAGCATGTCTATCCAGCAGTCAGCCCAAAGAGTGTGAGACAAGGTCGGATGCCTTTGTGAAGCCTGACCCTGCAGCAGTCCAAGACTAATGTCGACAACGCAAAGCCTGCTTTCGTTGGAAGTGTCGCTGCATGCTGACAAGGGGGTTTGGACTCCGAAGACGAATGTCACACTTACAAACACAATACCTTCATGTAGATCTGCAGTGCCGGACAAAAATGACTCCGGATGGCGCTTACGGCAAATGCAGGTCCAGATGGAGCCAACAATCCTACAGCAGTACAAACAGAGAATGATGGGATCAGAAGCTTGTCTGAAGCACATTGTGCTAGCCATTGCGCTAATCTTCAGACATTAGCTTACAGCTCGCTGGTGCGGGATGTAGTACTCGGAGGGGCGGCATGCACTCTGCGATGATAGTCTTTCTGAGACACATGACCATATGCCACATGCACTAAGTCACATGTCAAATGCATCACTTAAACAACAAGTTACCCCCCATCCCAAACTAAAAATCCAACCTTAAATACAGCTAGATACCATTGTCATTCAAGCCCGAGTGGCACTGATGCCACACCCAAAAGCGCCGACCGGGAATCGGCATGGGCAGCCGCGATCTGCGGAAGGCCGATTCCCAAGGTTTGACATTTTACTGCGTTCAAACTCTGTGGCTTCGGCTTCGGGGTACTTTACATGCAGATGTGGGAGGAGGGTGTTTTGGCGATATCTGAAGACCGAAGCATCTAGGTTCTGTTGATTACTTCTGTTGGACTACGGTCATTAAACGCGGTTGGGAGGCAAATCTCCTGATGGGTGGAGCTACTCCGGGAACACTCTTTGTCAAAGTCCTTCGGACAGATGCATCATTGCACTGTCCTGCACTAGACCGAGCCCCCGCAATGGCAGCAACAATAGCCGTGATGGAAGAAGAGGGAAAGCAGCAGTCACTCATCAGTGCTTTCACCATCTGCCTCATAAGCATCTAATCCGTTAGAATCATCTCCATCGACAGCAGAAGCATCACCATCATGATCGTGATAGTCAAAAGCAGCAACACCATCGCCTGCGCCAGGCATCATGATGGTCTAGTCTCGCTCTTCACCGTGGCCACATCCAAAAAAAGGCAATTTGGGTTCACAGTACCTTACCTAAGTCTCTGCAAACCTTATAAAGACCTTGTGTCAGTTCTTCAGCAACAGCAACGGTGGGGATGGTGAGCAAGATGACAGTAGTCGTCCTGCCCTTTACACACATATCAACAGCAACATCATCTTCACAGCGCTGGTTGCTCGTTCATCGGCACAGGGCACGCGACAAAGTCACGAAACCCAGCCTCGACGTTTCTGCACCCCTCAAACCGTATATAGGCCCCAATCATCATTGGCCAAAAACACCAAGGACCCCCATACGATAATTGCAATCTCAACTCCCCAAGCTAAGCTCTAGGCAAACACTGCCGCTTTCACTTGTCGTTTTGAAACTGCCAGGTTTGGGGTGAGGCCTCAAACTGTGGCGACGAGTAGACAGAACATGACTTAACAAGACAGGAAGTACAAATACATGCAGGAGGTACCTCGTGTTGCAAGTGACTTAAGGATTAACCAGACTTGGCTCTGGTCCGCTGAGGGGCCACACAGAACCTCTTCCTGTCTAACCGTCACGACGCCTAGCAGCGCCTAGTCAGTGCGCAGGGGATCAGCAATAGATTGCTCGATGTTACCTAACATGGACTGACAGGTCTCGACGTTACATCAACTTTCATTGAAGACCCAAAGCCGGATTGTCACACGATCTATCGCAGTCACTCAAGTCCAAGGCACAGACAACATGAGCAAGAGACGGCTTACAGCTTCATAAGTATATGGAAGGAAGAGGCTGGAGTTCACCGGTGCCGCAACATTCCAAGCACCCAGAGGTCCGAAATGAAAACTGCGTACTACTAACTTTCGGCCTTCATAAATCGGGGTCCGACCGAATTACTACTCCTAAGGTCTTCCCAGGACCTGTTTCACTGCATAGCTAGTAAATACTAGTATTAGTAGGCCGAAAGCCTTTGCAGGACTGACAGTCAGGACTTGGAAGCTTTTTGAGCGGCGGATGTTCCATTCAGATCTCCTTGCGAAGCATCTGCGCTAGCTTTGTCAGATGCAAGCTCGTCCCAGAAGAACAGATGCGACTGCAGCTGCAGCAGCACCAGGCCGAGGTATCCGGCGCTGCCCGTCAAGGATACGCGCACCTGCCAGGGTCGGAGCGAGTCCGAACAGGCGCTGCATTTGGAAGTCAGCGCTGTTGAAACGCATGGTTGAAAGTAACATTCAGCAACCGTGGAGAGATCATAATCATCATCATCATCATGCTCATCATCTTCATCATCTTCACCATCCTCTTCATCATCACCATCATCATCATCAGCAGCACAGAAGCATCTTTCGTGCCACCATGAACAGCATTGTCAATATCACCAAAACCAGTAACATCCTCGTATGTGTCTCCGATTTGGAGACACCTTGCACTTCGAGCCGACCGATGTTGTCTTACATGCACAGCCGTGCAATGAAAACCAGCCCCCACGAAGCCTTCAAGCCAGAACCTTCAATAGCTTCCACCTTACATCATGCTTAAAACATGATAGCCCGTGTAATCCTGACGTAACTCCGGCATAAGAAATTGACCCAGTCCTACCTGAAAAGGGGCAGAGGGTATTCTGCAGGTGTCTACGTCGATCTTCAGCTTGAACTTGTGGGCGAGAGCTGCCAGGAGCCCGGTAGTCGCCTGAATCTCAGGGGTTTTGGTTTAGGGGCTCAGGGTTTGGGGCTTTAGGGCTGTTTGTCTGAACGGTAGGCTCGGCGTCCGTATCTCGTGAATGAATTTGTGCCGTAAAGGGCGCTCTCAGATGTGAGGATGAGGGTTGTTGGGGCGCATGGAGTGTAGGGATAAGCCGCAGGGCTAAGAGGCTGAGTGAGATGGCCCATCGCTTCGCGAAACGACAGAAGCCCGATGATTGCCCTTTCTTCTACGGGTCCGCAACCCTAAAGCCTAAACAGGCTTAAACCATGCACCCCGAACCCTCACGGCCTGAATCATGAACCCTGGACTTGGAGAGGGCCCTCAACACGTTTATTAAACTCCATATTTGGGGCTTAAACAGGCTGTTTCAGAGGCAGAACGGGCCTGAGTTTCCACATAAACGGGCCTGAGTTTCCACATAAACGGGCCTGAGTTTCCACATAAACGGGCCTGAGTTTCCACATAAACGGGCCTGAGTTTCCACATAAACGGGCCTGAGTTTCCACATAAACGGGCCTGAGTTTCCACATAAACGGGCCTGAGTTTCCACATAAACGGGCCTGAGTTTCCACATAAACGGGCCTGAGTTTCCACATAAACGGGCCTGAGTTTCCACATAAACGGGCCTGAGTTTCCACAAAAACGTGCTTGAATTTCCACATAAACGGGCCTGAATTGCCACAAAATAGTGCTAGAATGTCCACATAAACGGGCCTGAATTGCCACAAAATAGTGCTAGAATTTCCACATAAACGGGCCTGAATTGCCATATAAACGGGCCTGAATTTCCACATAAACGGGCCTG